TAGCTTGTTGCATGTGAAAGCATGTCATATTACTTAATGCTGTGATTTTTCTAAATAGTGAGGGGAACTGGGATCAATTGAATGTAGCTAAAGTTCTTAATGTCCTCTTTGCCTACTGCTACAACTTTATCTAATTGAGAACTTAGATTTCACTTGCAGATTTCAGATTTCATTTAATAAACAGATTCACTTATGTTTATTATTTGCTCAACCTAATTGTGAACCTTAAAACCTGCTCTGTGCTTCTTCACATTTCTTGGTCTGATCCTGAATAAATGGAAACTACTTATCAAATAGTAGGATAAAATAAATTAAATTATGATAATGTTTGTCTTATGAATTTAGGAACACTTTGAATTATAAAGAATATTTTAATTAACTTTTAAGTCAGAGATAGTTGGAATTTTCTTAGCTTACCACAAATATTGGGTACAAGAAATCTTTCCTTAAAGAAGTTCTATTAACCTTTCTAAAATATAACACTTTCTTTATGGATTCATATTTATTTTTAATAAACATGAGTAAAAGAAGTATATAAATATATGGGCTCACACACTCACCTTTTGAAAACCCATAAAGGGTCTCAAGAATCAACCTATTTATAGCAAAAACAGATAGTATTTATTTGGCATGTTGACCTGTTCATCGTTAGATTTTATATATTCAAACTTTTCAATTCATAGTCTGAATTTTGACAGGTAGGGAGCCAAAAATTTTAGCCTTGTCCAATTTAAAAGGGTAGAGTCTCTATCATTTAATAATTTGCCAATTTTTGTGTGTGTGGCCACTCCTTATCAATTTTAATATGCATTTCCAGATACAAATATTTAAGCTGATGAAATTCAGGGTTTTTCTTGGATATCTATGATAGGAAATAGTAGCTTCCCCTGCTCTCCCAGCAGCTACCTCCCGTTCCCATACATAAATGGCAGCCAGCAATGGTGAGAAACAAAAGACTCTCCCAGTCTCTGAATACAGTGACATTCATTCTGAGAGAAGCAGGGGCAGCTTTTTGAAAGCCGACTTCTTCAGCTGGACAATAACACACAATGAGTTATTGACTTGTTTATATACGGAGCTCTTTTCAGTAACTAACTCTGACTCCCACAGTCTGGACAAATGATTGATTTCGTGGTTAGAAAAAGAGAAAGCTCTTGCGCTAAACTCTGTAGTGCAAACTACTTCTTCCCCATTTGTTCTGTAACTGAATAGGACCTTATTAAAATGCACTTTCCAAAAAAATACCTGCAGCTGGCCTTTATAACCATGTTTTGTATATATAAATAAGTAATTTGTCCCAGTCTTTTGTATATTAACAGGCCATTGGGAAACTTGTCAATATGTATGAAGGCTGATTATCCCATTGCTTATGCTGAACTGTATTGCCTGTATTGATCTGTATGTAAAATATGGATCAAATATTTTACTAATAGATCAATAGTTACTGGTGAAAAGCTTAGATTTCTGATATGTAGATTCATTTTTCTTGTCAGATCATGTTGATTTATCAAGGGCATGATACATAACATGTACTTCACAATTGAATCAGTAATTGTTCTGACCACAGGAAAAAATGACTCAGAGAACCACAATTCAGAGCCACAGGCGTTTGGTTGGGCTAATAGGCTTTTCTCCTTCTGCTAGTACCTATGTGAAATGTTGATATGCATTATATGGACAGAACATACCTCCTAGTTTAAATTATTGTACTTTTTCTAAAGATATTAGTAAGTATACTCTAGAGTCAACAGTTTGAGTTATTTTCTGTAAAATATATTTTATCTGAAATTATATACAAATTATTATACAATCTATATGATTTTTGTAAACAAACTTCAAAATATTTTGGAGGGAGGTAAAAAGGAAAGTCATTAGCTGTTAATGATGCACATAACACAAGTTCACTGCAATTTTAATTGTACTTCTCCAACAGGAGGATTTTAACATGTTTTCCTCTTTAGGGTATCCATGGGAAAGCTTCCTGAGTCAATAAGTGTTCAAGAATTCCTCAAGATTAAGATTACTTTCAATTACATCACAAGGGATCACATGTTTTATATATATTTGTATAATATTCAACTTTGATCTTTTCGTATTTTAGAGAAGGAACAATGCCTGAAATCTTTGTGTTAATAGTTTTAAATAAAATAGATATAGTCTGAAAGGTCATAACCAATGCAAGTCATTTCATTAGAATCTGTTGATAACACTTTTGTAGAGGTATATTCTTGATTCTTAAACTGTTTGAGGTGAATTTAATCATTTTATCTTCTGTTTATCTAACCATACTATTTCCCAGAAGCATTTTTGTTCAGTTTTCTTTGACAAATTCATTATGTTTTTTATTTCTTCCCTTTCTGCTATCATTCGTGACTAGTCTATTTCTTGTTCTATCTGTTTTGGTTCCCATTAATACTGAATAGGCCCAACTTTAACTTAATTGTAGATGGCTAATGTTTGTTACAGGTTTTAAAATCTTACCAGCAAGGCCTGGAAAAAGTGGTGAATTAAACCTTGCCATTTAGCTTCTTAGATTTTGATGTGAACAATGAATATTTGGGATCATTTGCTCATATCTAAAAGGGGCAAGATACATTTAGGACAAAGTAGGTTTCTCCTCCCTCAACTTGATGGGTATTTGCTTTTTCACAGTCGTATACAAACTATAGCTATCTTTCTGTTTGCTTTTGATTTTTAGTTTTTGAACATTTTGTGCTCTTCAACACATGAAAAATCAACCTTAGAAATCTCAACTTAATCAACAAAATTTCATTTAATATATTTGAGATAAAGACAGCAAATCAAAGGCAACTAGTTTTGTCTTAATGAGAAAACAGGACATTATCATCAAAAATGACAGGAGAGAAGAATCCTACCATTGTTATCATGTCGTGGATTTTGAGGGAAAGAGATGCTATTAGCACTGCATATTATTAATACCTCGGGTGAAAATGCACTCTTAATTTGACTTTTGCTCTCAATAATTTTCTTTAAATGATCACATTAAAATATTTCTCTTGGAGTGGCTTGTCTTTTTCCAGAAGAGGCCCCATATATTTATCTTTATTTTTGTTGATGATTTCTTACTCTTACTGCATGCCTTTCCTATACAACTCTATGTACATCATGTTTTTCCCTCTACTTCTGTAGACTAGTGTAATGTTTCTTTGGAATTTGGATGTTAGAGTGGAGATGACTTTTTCCAACTGTGGTGCTTTCAAAGGTAAAGAATTTTTACCTTTTAAATAGTTACTTGGAAGCAGTTCTAAATGTCATAACCCTGGGAAACCTCATTAGAATCTGACTTACCTGCTGTGGAAACAAAGAATTTCATGCCTCTGTTTTTGTTTTGTTTTGTTTTCTCTTTTTAAAAATATCTACTCTGAAATTTTTGCTCTTGGAAATTAATTTTGAGCATGGTAAGGTAATGAATGTTCTCCAATTGCTGTCTTCTTTACCCTTCTCCTCCTGAGAAGAAAACTCCCCTGATAAATAACCAGACTTGAGACCAGTATGTTGTACCAGGGTTCACACATAGGTTTCCACATGTGGAATTGAGCACCATATTTAAGTTTTTGTTTCTTGTATCACTTTATCAAAGGAACAAATATTTCTTGGAGAAAATCATCCTGAAACCAGTCTTACACAGTGATATAAAACAAAACAAAACTATAGTGGTTCTCAACCTAAGGCAGGGTTTGGCCAACCACTGCCTGTAGGCTAAATTTAACCTGTCACCTGTTTTTGTTTGTTTGTTGTTTAAGTTTTACTAAAGTATAGCCATGTTCATTCATTTATGCATTGTCTATTTCATGGTACAATGGCAGAGTTGAGTAATTAGACAGAGACTGTATGCCACTTCCCATATCCCATAGACTGAAATATTGAATGACTGACCCTTTACAGAAATATGTGTCAATTCCTTACCTGCAGTAATCATCAGATCATCTAAAGATTTCTGGACCCCACCCTTTTACCAAATCAGAATGTCTGATGATATACTGAGCTATATCACATATAATTGATAGGATGTTTACAGGTTTGACACTATTTTTCTAGCTTCTATGCACAGCTAGATTAAGGAAGACATATTGCTGAATCTACATCTCCCACTTTATCCCAAATACAAGGAGGCACAGTTCTTCGGGTTGGGTATGAATTAAAGATTCATGTTAATTCAAACATAATTTTCCAGAAATACAATAGATAAATCTTACTTATAACATCAACATTAACAAAACTTTAGAACATGGTATTTTTAGCCCAATTCTCAATAAAGACATGTGGTATGTCAAGGCCTTTGCTTAAGAGTTGTTAATATTCCTATTCATCAGGTCTCTATCAGGTTTTTGTTCTTTCTTTCTATTAATCTCAATCTATTGAGTAAATATTATTGAGTTTAGCATTTATATTTTCTTGAAAATCACATTTTGTTTCCATAAGAATTATTTATAAAGAAATAGAGCAATACTAGACTACCTTTATCTGACTTTGTAAATGGAGTAGGTTGGAGGTAATGGATATTTAGATACATGATACTTTGTTATGAAATAGTATCATTTGGCACATTCTAGAGTGACACTTTTATGTCTTTGGCTTCTTATACTGATGTAATAGCAGCCAATTTTCCCCCTACTTCCAATGAAAGGTTTTACTAGAGAATATCAGTCTAAATTTTTAAAAGTGAAGTGAGTTCATTTTTAAAATGCTTTAAAAAACAATCAGTGTCAAATGTCTGCAATTAGGGACTTACCCTCCCAAATTCATGTTTGGTAATCTTAAAAACAATAAAAAAGAAGTGAAAATTCAGTTTGCCACATGTTTTAAATATAAAAATAAACTTCCTATTCAATCTAAGCAAGTTCATTTTCATATATGTACAGGCAAAATTAATATAAATTGCCTTCAAGATTATGCTAAATTAGTTGTTTGAATAAAATATTGCTATTAGGAGTCAGTAAAAAGTGCCTGTTTTCATGTCATTTATTTATTTCTTTTAGTTGAACCTGGCCTTCAATGACAAGAAGGAGAAAATTACAGAAAAAGTTATCCTTTCAATGACAGCAAAGGAGCACCATAAAGCAGAAGAAGAAGTAAGGGAATTATTTTGTAACTATATTAAAACAACAATGACTTAATTTTAAAATTAAGATAAATTTTACTTTGGGTATTAATCAATTATTATTAATTGACAGTAACATATAATAGAAAAAAACCCTTAAATTTATTTTACTGATATGCACAGTCTGAAAAATAGTTGTGTGCTTGAAACAATGAATCAAATTAGGATTTTCTGAAAAATGTCTTATGACTATTTTCTCATAAATTTCTTCAATTAGTAAATTATTACATGTAACTTGAAACTGAAAATTGTAAAACATGCCAACACAGGGAAAACATAAATTGTTTTTGAATTTTAATAAATCTAAATCTGTTTTTTTGTTATCTAAAAATAGAATTATTGTTCTGAATTTTAGGTACGCTAACAAAGTTATCTTTTATCAAGGGAAAACTGTTGTTTGCAATGTCAATAGTAAGGAAGCTAATCATAAGATTCTGTAGGCAATATTGTAATGAAGAACTATTAAATCAAACCTTCTTCTCTCCAAAGCTCATGCTGTGACATTGACAGCATATTCCATAAATGAAAGAATAATACAAAATAAGTATTAGACAAAAGGGGAAAATTATCTTCAAGTAGTTTTCTAGAATGAAAAAGCATTTAATCTTTCTGAGGAATAAACATAAATTTCCTAATTTCCACATACTAATGTCAGTAAATAAACTCTATAAGCAACTTAAGGAACATGATAATGTGAAAATAACAAAATAAGCTTCTCATGCAATTTTATTTTGACATTTGGGCAAATAAGTCTACCCAAGCTTAGGATTTTAATAGTTTGTTATCATTGTGATTGCATCTTCTTCATTAACTGTATATTTCATAACAAATGAACACATACAATGCACCAAATTGTTCTGTGTGAATTCATCTTTACACAAAACTATATTAATATTTGGGACATATATGTCTGTTATTAAATATGATAGTGTAAACATTGATTGGCATTGTCAATAGAGAATATTTCATATGAAAAATTAAACTTGAATCATTTCTAAAATGTAATAAATAATAGTTACATAGATTTAAGTTATGGTTCTGTCTCATTCTACTGAATATTAACAAGTTATAAGACTAAGTTACTAGTTATAAATTTTAAAAATATCATTCTCTATGTGTTTGAAAAAGGTGTTACCAGAGCTAGAGTTTTACTCCATTTTACAGTAAGTTTCAAATAAATATAGCATGAATCATAAATTTTGAGAAGTGCAAATGTCTTTCTAGATTCATCAGTATAATTAAAATTATCTTTAACAAAACCAGTTAGTATTAGAGATTAAATAGAAAATTATCAAAAAGAATAACAGATTAAATATTTTTCTCCTTTAAAACATTATAATTATTTTGCTCTTTGATATTTATGCAAAATCACAATTTCATCGAAATTAAAAAGTTTAGTGGATCAGGAAAATGATAATTATGTTAAATATATAATTTTTAATGCCACCTTGTTAGCAACATTAGAAATAAAAATTGTCTCATCCTCCAAATATAATAATATCTATACTTCTTTGGTATTTCTTCTTTATCATTATTATCTGCTTGTTTATTTAACTCTTCTGAGTTCTTTCTGTACAGTACTTTATGTGGCTCAAAGTTTCTTTGTTTTCTTCAAAAATCAAATATCTACAAAAGGAATGTGTATGCATGTGCGTGTGTGTATAATAATCTCTAAATATATTTGGCAATCTATGAAAATAGTTTCTTTTTAAAAATGGCAGTGCCCCCAAAGAGACTATGAGAATAATTTCTAAGAGATTACTTGGAAAACATCTATATTAATTTGGATGCATAAGTTCTAGTGTTTTGGTTTAGAAAAAGTCTGTGACATCAAGTTTTAGCTCTAATTCACATACAAAAGTGTCAAATCCTGATGGAAAGAAAAATGAGAAATTTGAGGGAAAATTATGTTTTTACATAAATATAACATTCTGTACATATCTCAAACCAAATTAAACATCACACACATACAGATTTAGTTCCTTTTCTGCTGCCTATAATTTTATCTTAAAATTTTGTTTTATTTCATAAAATTTTCCACATAAAACTGGGAGTAATAATGTACACATCATACAGCCACTTTGAGATGATGATACATGTTTTTGGAAATTTGTATGTAATATATTATTGCCCTTTTAAAAGTGTGCTATTTTAAATTCTCTGAAAAGAAGAAACCAAGGTGGAATTAAATGTCTGAGGATTTTATTAGAAGAAATGCCTATGGGAGTGCATGATAAAGTTAGAGTTCTATGAGACAAAAATGCAGACCTAACCCCAAGTAAGGGAGAGAAGAAAGAAAGATTGGGTGGAAGCATCCTAGACCATTGTGCAGTCAAGAAAGGTTTGGCAAAGCTGTTGGTATAGCCTTGAGCCAAAGTTGGCCATTAGAGGAATTCTGTAACTCTCAAGGACGCATCTGACTTAGTATTCCCATTGGTGCCAATCTGGTGGTGGATATCCAAGCAGAATAATTGGGACTCTTGGTCTATTGTACACCTGTAGTTAGAGGTCAGTAACGCACGGTCACATGTCAAAAGGTACAGTTGACATTGTCCTTGTTGCCTTCACCAAATCCCTATTGCCAGGTAAGTTATGAAGACACTTAAAATGTCTCTATTTTTATTTTTATTTTTTTATTTTTTTTAATTTTTATTGTTGGTTTTTCAAAACATTACATAGTTCTTGACATATCATATTTCACACTTTGATTCAAGTGTGTTATGAACTCCTATTTTTACCCCGTATACAGATTGCAGGATCACATCGGTTACACATCCACTGATTAATAGTCCCTCCCTTCACCTGTGAGGGGAATGAGAATGGGGTTGTTGAGTAGGCCTAAAGACAGCACGTAAAGGACCTCTGCCTGCAAACAGGTTAAATCTGTGTTGGAAAGCTTCAAGGAAACTATTAAAAGTTGGCAGTAGTTAAAGTGCTAGGAATAAGAGGTGCCACACACTTTGGGGTCCCTGATAGTTATGCTGCACCACAGCTTCCAAATGAAGAGATACTTAACTTTGCTCACAGGCTCTCAGTCTTTGTTTATCAATTCTAGATTATGTTTACTTTTTAACTTAAAATCAAAACAAAACAAAACAAACACCCCACCAAAAAAAATAAAAATTAAAAATTAAAAAACTGTGTTATTGGGCCTGAGATAAAGAAGAGATTTAGGAAGCTTTAAAATAACATTTTAATCTCTCTGCCCACTCCTTTGACTCATCTTAAATATGTTGTTAATTAAAATGTTTCTTGGTCTTAAATTCAAGTGCTAATCTGACTTTGAGATCATCCTGTATGTTATATGCCACGATGATGTTCCTAGCATAGAGGCTGCCACCCTTTGTGATGATTTCAAGTGACAGTTCTGTGCAAAGTGCTCTGGAATTCTCTTTAATAATATGGGTGGATTCAAAACCACAGAGAATTCAGGCTGACAGCTGAAGCCATCACTGAAAAAGCCAGAAGATCCTCAAAGCATCATTAATAATAGCCAGTATACAGTATTCACAATATATGGTTCAGACATGCACAACCTCATTAAGTATACTCTTTAGAATGATTATAAACTGAACAATATTTTGTGTTGACTATAAATCATCTTGAAAATTTAATTGAATTCAAGAGTTGCATGCATGTGTCATATAAATATGGTCAAACTTCCCTATGTGTTAGGTAAAAACTTATGTGTATGTCTATAAACATGTGCACATTTGCATTCTGTCAGAAGTTTGGCTTCTTTCCTCACCAGAATATTCATTTTTTGTTTTTTTTTTTTTGCTACCTTCTGCTCATTTGTCACTCTCCCAAATTCTGTACAAGTGTCACTTCCGCGCTGCATTTCCATGGAGAATGAGTAGGCTTTCTGTTGCACAATGAGATGGTGCATTTTTTCAGCATATGCATACGTAAGCCTTCTTTTGTGAATGGGACTGATAGGGTCAGATAATGTTTAAAGGGAAAGGCTTTATGTCTCTCAGGCTTCTATGTTTCCACATGGATGCTCCCACACACACATAGATTGAATTATGAACAGACCCATTAATGCTGGGATCACAAAAGGTCAAGTTTTGTCTTCTTTTACCTCTATTCACGTTGCCTTTGTGAGGAAAAAAAAGGATTTGCAGAAAAAAAAAGATTTATGATAAAGAATTTTAAAGAACATTTTTCTCTTTTAGCAACATCTGTGATTTGAAAAAAAAATCATATTATGTGAAATAAATCAGGAATATTGTCATTACCTACCTGATTTTAGTATTGAGTTATTTCATGAGTAGGATTGTTTTTAAGGGTGATATGTTACCATAATAACTGAGAATAAAACATAACACTTTGAGGATAAAAGTCTTTATGAATATGTAAAGCAACAAAATTTGAGTAAAATTGAAGGGAAACATTATCAAAATGTCATTGGTAGTATTCTTGATACATTTTCCCCTATGTTTAAGTTATCTTTGCTAGGACATTCAATTTGATAATTTTCAATTTAAAGAAATAAGTGATAACTTATTTAATTATGGTTCATGTAATCTGGGGGCCAAGGAAAAGAGCAAAAAAGATTGAAATATTCTTGAAGCAAGACAGAATTTATCCAGATGAAAATTCAAATCTTTAACCAGTAGCCCTTTAGAGTGCAAATGACATCATGACATCATCAATTGTATGGTTGGTTGATTTCTGATGTCACATGAAATCCCCTATCAGTTAAAGTGTATGGATTGTGACAGTAAAACCAGTCATGTATAAAAATGCTCTCAAATCAAAGTCTGAAATTCTTCCTTTTTGTGTGTGTGGCTTAATATAGTACAAGGTAAAGTACATAAAATCAGAGAGCATTATTGACTATCAGAATACATTGCATGATACTTGGTAGACTTTAAAGGCTGCATAAAATTACATCTTCCTGAATTGCATGATGCTGGAAATGAATTCAAAGAGAACCAAGGCTTTCCACAAAAGGAATCCTCCCATTTAAATCTTTTGCTTATTGAGTTTTAATATCATCAAATAACCATTACAGCAAGCCACCTGGCCTGCTGGTGTTTTGCTTTGATATATAACATACTGTTATCCGTCATTCGAGGACAATTGCTGCTATAGGATAGTATGATCTGAAGGGGAAGATGAGGCTGAAAGCATTGACAAATATTTAATCATCTATCATTTCCATTTTTAAATTTACAACATTTTATAGAGTTAACAGTACTATGGAAAGTGTATAAATTCATTCCTTCCTTTAGAAAATCAAAGAACATCATGAAAGAAATCTGCTATAGAATTTTATAGTCTATGAATAATATTGTCTTTTCGTTTTCCCACAGCTTTGTCTAATTTAATAGATCTGCTGTTTGGATCTGCTGCTTCTATTCCATTTTAATTATAAGTGCATACTAATTATACCAGAATAATGGGTTTCATTGTGACAATATTATACATGTATATAATATATGAATAATATTGTCTCTTTTAACATTTTTTCTTCTCTTTCTTCCCTGCTCATTTCCTCCATCTCCATCTCCTTTTAATTTCTCTCCTTGTCTTCTTTCTTTTTCATATTATTTTTCTTTCTATGTCTCTTATGACCCCCCATACACACATATCATATACTTTCTACTACCTTACATGTCCATGATTTCCAAAGTTTTGTTCCAAGTTAACTGATTGACCATGAGGAAGGGCTTCTGTATGAATGACTAATAGAAATTGCTGTACACTTTCTATGTACCCTTAAGGGCTGCCTATTAGTATCCTATTGGATGAGTTATATAGGGTTGCAAAGACTTAGCAGAAATCAGTGTATCAATCAGGTTTTGCTAGATTATGCTGCATTGGTTAACAAGCCCCAAATCTTAGTTACTTAAAACAAAATATTATGTTGGCTACAGGTTGTTTGTCTCTCTCCCATATGTCTTTTTCAGTATGGGATAGAGGTTGAAGGAACAGTTTCTATTGGGACATTGCTGTTTTCATGGCAGAGCAAAAGAGCAATGCTAGAACTGATGACTTGTAAAGCTTCTGTTGAGAAGTGGTATACGTTCATTTTGCTCACATTTCATTGGCCAAAGCAAGTCACCTTGGGACATTGCTGTCAGTTATATGTCTGTTAACTTTTCTGGACCTGATTTTCCTTGTTTATTAGATAAGAGTGTTGATCATAATAGATAAATAAATATTTTCTAATTTATTATGACACTTGAGTAATAGAAGGAATCTGTATATGTGTGTGTGGTGGGGGATGGGAACAGTGAGAAGGGACATCTTGTTAGAGAGGAAGGGTCTAGTGGGAATATGAGCCATAAAGCCAGGTAGGGATCAGATTATAAAAGGTCTTGAATCTTGAATATCAAGCTGTAAAATCTCAGAGAGTCACTAGAGGGTTTCATTTACTGTTCAATTTGGATTAATTCTGTGAAGGTGGCAGGATGGATGACAGGGGAGAGTCTAGGGACTGGGAATCCATTCACTAGGTATTTTGGTAATCCACATTGGGATAGGGATGAGGAAAAAAAATGATGACTTGGACCAAAGTATTACTTATAAAAAAGGAAAGGAGGATAGAAAATTTATATTTAGATGAGGGCCAAATTCAGTCCGTTGTTTATTTTTATAAATAAAGTTTTATTTGATCACATTCATGCCCATTCATTTGCATATGATCTGTGACTGCCTTACAACTACAACTGTAGGTTTAAATTCTTTGACAGAAACATTATGAACCATAAGGGTAAAAATATTTACAAACTAGCCTATTATTGAAAATATCTGCCAACCCTTTGTTTAGAAGAAAGGATTGTTTAAAGGAAGGTAGAAGATGATCACATAGGAACAAACAAGAGTTTGACCAAAGATAAATAGGAATTATATTGAAGTAAGTTGTTTACATGCACTTATAAAGTTCTTGGTAAAAGTCTAATGAAGCTAGGTGTGGTGGCACATGCCTCTAATCTCAGCGCTCAGGAGGCTGAGGCAGGAGAATCACGAGTTCAAAGCCAGCCTCGGTAACTAGTTAGGCACTAACCAACTTAGTGAGACCTGTCCCTAAATAAAATACTAAATTGGGCTGAGGATGTGACTCAGTGGTCGAGTGCCCCTGAGCTCAATCCCTGATACAAAAAAAAAAAAAAAGTCAAATGTAATCAAAGTTTTACATGTATAAAAACTTCAACTATGTTTAGCTTTTACCAAATATATGTGTGCACACACACACTCACAAACATCATTAGGGTAAAGTGAAAAATAAATATTTAAGCCACATAATTAATAATATAAGCTTGTTCTTCAGCAAATTTCAGCAAATTCAAATACCATATTTTTAGCTGAGAGAGAAAGAAGGAGGATGAGGTGTCAGGACATGAAAGAATCTTAGAGGAGTTTTCATTTTATTTGTGGATATTGAAATGAGGTATAAAATCTATACAGCAGATAGTTGAGAATTTCTATCTGCCTCATATGAAATAAAGGTAAGAATAGGAATGATGGACCAAGAAAAATATAATTAAAACTCGATATGCAGAAAACACAGATTTAAAAAACAAAACACTATAATAATATACCGATGCACTGGGCACCTACCTGCTTTAGGCTAGACATCATGCTGTCTCTTCTTTTATCTCATTAATTCTCAGTGTGTTGGACCAATATTATTCTTCATTTATGCAAGAGGGTTTTATTGCTTGTTCAAAGTCTCCTAGTCAGTGTGTGGGAGAGCCAGAATTTTAATGCAAGCTTTCAAAGTTGATCACTTTAAAGAATTGCTGATAAAGTGGATTTCTGTTCTTCATCTCTTTTGATTATGACCATGTATTGACCAATAAAAATCGAGTCGATTACCCATTATCCTATGTCATTTAGTATTCTTTTATTAATGATTTTGGGACATTAAATGATTTTATGCCATACAGCTGAATAACTAACATGAATTTCCTTTAATAATAAAGCCTGTGAAAAGCAATAAAAAAAATTCAGTCTTTAGAATTACATAGAATATAAGTTTATATAAAACAATGAAAGTCAAAGAAATGGCAGTGATTTTTAATTTGTAAACTGTAAAACAGTAGTTTGCTGACTCCTCACCATGTTTTATTAATAATCCATAAGTAAATTTCATATGCCCATCCTAAATACACTGATTAGAAGTCCAATTTTTTTTTAAATCCCAAGTATGTGTTCATAAGTCTATTTTGTTTCTGGAAAAATTCTATGCTTTATTTTGTCATTGATATATATATATATATATTTAAAATGGTGTTTAGAACAGAGCATTGTCTTTAAAGTATGGATATTTTGAAAAATTACATTTATGAAATTTGGAAAAAATGTATTCTAGAATATTTGGAAGAAGATAACAGTTATTTATTTATTATTTTCGGGGGGTACTGGGGATTGAACTGAGGGGCACTTGACCACTGAGACATATCCCCAGCCCTATTTTGAGACAGGGTCTCACTGAATTGCTTGTGCCTCACTTTTGCTGAGGCTGGCTTTGAACTCTCCATGCTCCTGCCTCAGCTTCCCAGGCTGTTGGGATTACTAGTGAGGGCCAGAGCGCCCTTATTTATTTTCAAGTTCAAAAAAGTCTTAGTGAATTTAATATATGTATTAAAAATTTTAATGTAGCCATGTTGAAATAAAATATTCTAAAAAGGTACATGTAGGAAAATAAAATGTGATAGTAGTTTATGTATATTGGATTCAAGTCCTAGGAAGTTTTTATTGTAATAAGCAGTTTAAAAGTCCTTTGCAAACTTGTCAGATGTGTATGTTCCTTTTTATACCCAGAGTTGTTTTTCATTTAGCAATTGTAATGGCCACCTATTCCATATTACTGAAGTAAAAAGGTTAGACATTTTTCATAAATGAAATTTGTTGATGAAGGAATGTATGTATGTCTCTAATCTTCACTCGAGGCTATATCTGTACTCAAATTCTTGTATTGAAGTCATTTTCCCCCATCATGCTGGATACTCAAAAATCTAATAGGTGTGACATCAACAATTACTTCTTGCTAACAACTCTTGCAATTTAACCCCTTCAGGTAAGCAGGCTGATTGATGAATTGCAGACAGCTATCAAAAGCAACAGAGGTCATCTCTCTAAACTTGGCCCCCAATTACAGGCTGAGCAGGAGCAATTCTCCTCTTATGTCTACCAACACATTAAAAGCCTTCCAGCAAACACTCTAGTCCCAGGAGGCCTGCAGCTCAAGGTGGGTGTTATTCTATGACTCTCATTGGATTCAGGTGGAGACAAAAACTCCCTTCTGCATTTGAAGACCCTTGTAACATTGCCACTCAGCTAGAATTTCCTTTTATCTTGTTGTCCTCTACACTGGAGGTAATATTACAATATTACAATGGTAATATTGCTATTCAGGAAATAGGTTTTAAAAGCAAATACCTACTAAACTTTGAAATATGGATTTATAAACAAGTTTTCAAACCAATAATTTTAATTAAGAAATTTAATCAGCTGAACATTTATATGCTTTTCCAAGAAACATATTTTTCATAGGAGTCACTATGTATTTCAGTTTCTAAAAATAACATTTGTAGAAATGGCCAGACTTTAATAGTTGACAGACAGTGGCAACAGGAATTGGAGGTGAAAGGCCAGGTGACTGATTGATGTTCAAACTACATTTCCAAGGAAAAGGATCTGTATTGGATAAGTGTGACACATGTCTGAGTTCACTTGGTAAAATCAATACTTAAGAATATACTGGGAAAAAAGGTGAATTGGTTATTTGTCAGGACAAGATGGCTAAATGTCCTAGACTATACTCTTCTATTGCAGTTTTAGAATGGAAAAAGAACAACATACTTGGTTGAAGTGATTTAGGTAGGTGCTTAAAGCTTAGGGAATGTTAACATTTTTGTTTGCATTATAGAATATCCTTGCTATGTTAACTCTGTCAAGTTAATGTAGTTCTATAACTTTACACCTTATATTTTAAAAGCATATAATTATTAAAATTTGAATTACTGAAAGTATGACCCTTTTCCATCGAAAGCATAGCATTATTGCAACTCTTCATTTCCTTTTGATTATTTTTAGAGGGACACAATAATTTTCAAAGTTAATTATAATTTTATTATCCTTCATTTCTATAATTCTTCTTATTATTCAGTTTTATTCTATAAATAACATTATAAACTTCATGTTTTCTCTCCTTAATTTTTTTCTTAGGATGATATTTCCATGTGTGCAGTTTGAATGAGAATGTTACCATTAAAAATTGACTTTTTGGGAAATAAAATTCAACATTAAACATGATAACTTATTTCTCACAGTTCAGTCTGTTCTAGGCAGGTAAGGGATTAGGAAGTGTTGCTCAAGACATAGAGGTCAGGTTGGGCATGGTGGCGCACACTTGTTATCCCAGCAAGTGGATTACTTAAGATCATGGGAAACTGAGGCAGGAGAATCACAAGTTCAAAGCCAGCCTCAACAATTTAGCAAGGCCCTAAGCAACTTAGCAAGACCCTGTCTCAAAATTAAAATAAATAAAAAGGTCTGAGGATGTGGCTCAGTGGCTAAGCACTCCTGAGTTCAATTCCCATACTAAAAAAGAAAAGAAGACGTTTAGGTCAAGGATTCTTATAGTTCAGTAACATTGTTCTTTTCAAATTTCTGACCTGACAGCCCCATCCTGCCATTTTGCAAATGTTCTGAGAAAAACCAGGTGATAGAGTGCAGTTGTTTTAATGCCATTCATTCCCACCCATTTGTATCAGAAACTATCATATTAACTATAGTATGACCTGGAAAATTCTTTTTTCCCCAACTCACAAATTCACTGATTATTTCTAAAGAATTTCTATCACTTATTCACATTAGCACATTAGCCTAATAGCAAATATTTCAGTTTAGAATCTGAATTGTTACTTTCATGTGTTCCTCTATTAGAAGGCTTCAAAATCGTCTTTTATACCAGCAAATAAATAGAAAGTTTATACTTGCAAAGGAGTCACGTTGTAATTGTATCTAATTTATCTAATACAAAAATCACTAGGTATATGTGGCTATTTAAATAAAAATTGGTTAAAATCCAATGCTGCTAGTGCTTTGCCTGACACTTCTCTGGTTTTAGCACTGAAAATTTTGCATCTGGCACCCTGAAATGGTTGATTATGCTAGTCTTATCTCCAGAATTCCCTCTCTTCATTCTCAGGAATTCTCCTGCTTTATGATTGTTGGCCCAATAAGGTAATCAGCAATGTTAACTTCTGCCTTCTCTATCCTTGCTACCCTTTGAAACATCCAGTTTCTGTCAGAGAATAAATTTCTATTTCAATTCCCAAACTGGACATCAGCCCCACTCTCAGGCCTTAGAGCAGTGGTTTTCATTCCTGGATGCATATTTGAATCACCTGGAGACCTTTTAAAAAATACCAATGTCTCTGCTGGTCATGGTGGCACACATCTGTAATCCCAGTGACTCCAGGAAGATCACAAGTTTGAGGCCAGCCTTAGCAACTTAGTGAGACTTTGTTTCAAAATAAAAATTTATAAAGGCTGGGGATGTAACTCAGTGGTAGAGTGTCACTGGGTTCAATCCCTAGTACCAATAAACAAAAAAGCAAAAGTACCAATGTCCCGAATCCTAGAGATTTGGAGTTAATTGGTTTCGTATGCTAAGATTGACTTCCACTGGCTTTCGAACACTGATTGTTAAATTCTGAGATTTTATGAGCCAGTTGTTAAATATAGCCATTATTAAAATCTTGTATAAACTTAAAAATAAAGGTAATAAATACCTTTCACTTCCCAATCATTTTACTACATTTTACCATTACCTATCTATTCTTTTGAAGTTATTAATGTTTATTATGTTTGTTTAGTGAAAATAGTATATAACAAAGTGATACTGTGCATTTCTTTCCAAATTTATTTTCAGGGCTGACTTGTAACTTGAAAGTGGCCACAATAAGAATATCTATATAACAGAAATTGGCAAATGCTAAAAACAAGGGCTTGCTTTAAAGTTTTGTTGATTGTTTAGGCCAAGCCATGGACCAAAAGATGCCTGTTTTTCTTTTTTTTTAATAAGTTTTTACTGGAACACAGTCATGCCCACTGATTTGTCCTTTGTCTATGACTGCTTTCACAGAACAATAGCAGAGTTGAGTGGTTAGGCAGAGACCATCTAACTTGAAAACACTAAAATATTTACTACTTGATCCTTTACAGAAAAAATTTACCTCTGGTTTAGATGTAATTATATGATAGAAAAAGTTCATAATGCAATTTCTTAATTTAAAAGTGAAAAATTTTTGTATCTGTTACATTGTTAATAGCACAAAAAATTGCAGTATTCTTCCAGCATATAAAAACTATTATCTGAATAGAAAATAGAAAAAATACTGCTTAAATCATTAATTAACAAAGAAAGTCCTACATACATCTTTCTTGTTTTGGTTCTATCTTATTAACATGGATGAAAATATCAATCAACATTCAGATCAGAACTGCACTTGTTTCTCAATTTCAACCATAGTTTGGCTGTGTTCACAGACTTGGCATAAATCAATGAAAGCATTCTGTGAGAATCTGTTAGTTATGTGGAATTTACAATAAGAGTATTATGTGTTGTGCTATTATTTGCAATTTATGTGTTATATATTTTTATATAAACATATAACCTCCATGTTAAGCATCCACTGGAACATCTTTAGGTGTGGACCAGGCATCAGTATTTTTTAAAAGCTTCCATATGATACTATTGTCAGGCAGATTTGAGTATCATAGTGAGATTTTTACAGCAATGCTAAAAAAAGCTAACAGAACCCTGCAAAGAAATTCTCATTTAAGATTACTAATCAACTAAAACTTTTCTCTATATTTTTTTTCATTGGTAAAGTAGGAAAGGCTAGCAATGAAATCCTTTAACCTCAAATTATGGAAAGGGAAAATTCCCTCTTTTCAACAATAGCTACAAAGGGAGCAATTTTATATTTAAATTTTTCCTCTTCAATATGTATTTTCATAGGGAAAATTAGAGAAGAAAGAAAAAGAAAAGACTTTTAGTTGTTGGAATGGCTAGTCTTGAATAGGTATAATAAATGAAGTCAGCTAGTCTAATGTGCCTAGATCCACAGCTAGTTAAAAGTCCTTCTGATGATTAGATAAGTATGTAGGCTAAAATATGGCTGATTAAAAATATTTGCTACTTTCAAATATTTGAGACAATAGTATCTGAAGATAAAGTAAGTAGGGAATACAACCAAGTTAAGAGCAAATAAAGAAATATATTTGTGAGGTACAGGAACACCTGTGTCTTTGTGTGAACTGTAATTTCTTTAAATCTTCACATCATAGTTTTCTTGTTTTTTTTAGGAAATTTTGTGGTTGTCAATAATATTTTTTATTTTCTAAAAATAAAACTTTCTGGCTTATGACTATTTTTTCACTTAAGAAAATTATTAAATAAAAGAAGACTTAATCACTGGTCTCCACTTATAATTGCTCAATATCACTCCTTACTGGTGACCACCCTGAATTGTAGTATTAAGTCCCAGGCATAGAAAGAGATACTTGGCATTTTCAGAGATCCATTCCAAAGATTTCTGCAAACAGTACTGCTTTGGGATCAGAGTCATACATTTTCCTTCCTCTGTCAGAAATGGGATAGGCATGGGATAAAGGAAATTTTCAATTTATCTTTCCCCTGGTGTGCTTCCCCTTTTTCCAGTCAACTCTAATAATATTAATCCCAGGTTTACTTGCACTGTAAACTTTCTTGAACTAACTTAAATAAAAACAATTTCTTGAAAACCTAAGGGAATCTTACAGAGAAGCAGACCAGGAAATAAAGCAACGTCTCACATGAAAGTTACCGCTTTTCCATATTTTTCTCTTAAAGCCCTGTGATCTTTCATCTTTACTTTTCTCTGTGAGGTTTTATTATTTTTTTCTTTTTTCAATTCTGCTTCTTTCTGCAAGCTAGGTATCTTTTTACCTCTTCAAATGTACATGGAGGGAAAATTATGGCCTTGGCCTTGGTCTTTAGTTTTAAATGATCATCATTATCTAAATAGAGCTGTATCTCTTGATTCAAACCATTTAGGGAGTGGATCTACTTGAGTTAGTCTGGTCTTGATTAAGTACTCAACACAAATTCAGCTACCTGTGTCCAGTTACTGGGGATAGTTAAAGTCATTTGCTACATCAGACTGCCCTTCACAGAAGTTAGTTTAAGGAGGAAAG